CAACTGCTTGAGATATGAATACAATAAACGACTATTTTTTTCTAAAAACATTGATGCTAAAACCTCTTCATTTGATGGTCTTAAAGTACTAACATGTCTATCAACTTGTCTATGAACAGTATGTAAGTACTTTTTAACTGGAGTACTTCTACCTTCAGTTGAACAACAATAAATGGGGGACTGACAAGTGTTATGACTTCCTATAGAACTTTTTGAAGAACAGAGTGAATCATCAGGTGTCATGCTTGCAGAATTTGATACTTGTAAGGTTTGGTCCTGACTAAGGAAAACGTCAGAAGAATAGTTGGGGAAACTAGTCTTTCTCCTAAGAGTACGAGCCATACCAAAGTAATTTAATTGATGAGATCCCAAGATTTCAATCTTAATTTATTTCATTTCCTAAAATAAACCAACGTTCTAAATATAAAATATAGGGGTCGGAATAACACTTTCATTTTAAAAATTCAAGTTTTTAACTCTTTCTTTTTAATTTCGTAAATTATTATTTTACATTCCTTTTTTTTTTAAGTAATTCTGTTAAAAATTTTCTTGGATTGGTTATCATTATAAAACAACTCATTACAATCGGAATCATAAAAAAATCATTCCATTAGCATTGTTGTTATTTAAAAAATAATTATTTTCTTAATTTTTCTAACTGCGAAAATTAGAATTGATAATACTATTATCAAAAAAAATCAAATCAATAAAAAGTATTACTCATCAATTTCGTCTCCTTTTTCTCTATCTTTTTAGGTATTATCAAAATATCACTTTTTATATTTAATCACTTTTATTTTATGTTAACAGATAGAACTGAGTCTATAAGGTATTTATTTAGTGTTTTGTAGTATTAATTTGTTTTAATATTAACGTCATCAAATAAAATGAAAAATAAAACAATATTTATTAAAACAAATATAATATGACTTATAATTTTTTTCATTTTCTATTAACGTTAACTCTACCAAAACATTATTTTTTTCATATCTCTCTCAATAAACCCAAATAATAATAACTTATTCTTTAGAATTTTTGAAAAACATTAAAGATATGCATGAGTGCTGTCTATGGTTCGCTTATTATTTTTCAAATAAATCTAATAAACAAAGTAATAAAAACATTGAATGATCTTAAGATTCTTTCAAGCTATTTTAAAAATACAAATAAAACAAAAAATGATGATGACATCTTAAATAAAAAATTGGGTTAATGTAAAATAAAGACAAAATTTTTTTATAGTAAAATCATACATATTTAAAAAATATCTTTTTTAAAGTATCTCGAAATGTTTTGCATAACCCAACTAACAATCCTATCATGACTATAAAATTCTGCTAATTTGTTTTTTTTTCAAAAAAAAAACGAAAAAAGAAGGGACTTAGAAAATACTCTTTTCGTTTATGAATCTGTGAAATCTTAAAAAAGTTAGTACTTCGAAAACTAGAAATAGAAAAAACTAATGAAAATATAATTTATTTTTCATATTAGAAAAAAATTTATTGATCTTTTTTGTCCTGAAAAAGACACTTATGGTTAACTAATTTATTATCAAAAATAATTATTTAGGAAATGATATTTGAAATAAAATATTAATTTGACAATAATTCTTATTTCCTTTAATCTTAATTGAAAATCATTTTAATTTATTAATACAACTTAAATAATTCTCAAAAACATTAACTATTTCATAACCTACAAAAGAAAAGTCTATGATTTATTTTAAAAATATAGTATTAAATTGATAAGTATTGCAATGTACAATTTGGTGAATGTTTCTAACTAAACTAAGAATTAACGTTCAAATGAAATAACAATTCTCCTTTATTTCAATATTTATTCTACTTTATGTATATCTTGTCGTACCTGATTACTTCTTTTTTTTTCATTTGTACTCTTAATTAAATGATTTAAATTTTATTTAATATCATTGCTTACTGTTATCTTCGAAATTAACTTTAATCATTTTAATAACTTCAACTACTTCTTCTGTAACTAACTTAGTTTTCTTTTTGTGGTTTTTGTTTATGTAAAGACATTGGTAGCATTTATTTTTTGTTGGTTTGCTAAAGATATGATAAGATTAGTGGTTGGTGAGATAGAAAAAACATCAAGTTGAAGTATCAATAAAACAAAAACAGTTAACACAATGGAAGAGAAAAATTATATTTTTTATATTAAAACAAATGAGCACTGATGAGAAATAAAAAAGTCAAATAATAGTTTGCATGCACAAACCTCATAGCTGAAATACACAGACTTATCACTTATTTAACCCCACTTATGCAAAGAAGAAACATCAATAGAACTTTAATTCTCTTTTATATCTTTTCTCGTCAGTAATTCTTTTTAAGTTTACAGTTAGGGAAACGGTTCAACTCATCATTTTAACACAACCGTGTTAAACTTAAACAATAATTAATTTGAATTGAACCTAAACCTTCTAAATACTCTCATAAAAAACTTTCGTTAGCACTAGCACTGAATTAGTTAGAATTTCTTTTGATATATTTCCTCTTGGGAAAAGAAATAAAAAAAGTGTTTCAATTTCAAGGCAAAATAAAACTTTGGTATCTATTATTAAACTTCTCAAGGTAACTTTTTCAGAATTTAATCAAGAGAAAAGAAAAAAAGGAAGGGGGACTAACAGAAAAAAGAAAGATGTAGAAGAAAAGAAAGAAGAGAAAGAAGAAAAAAAAAGATCTGGACAAAAAAGAAAAGAGAATATAAAAAGAGGAACTAAAAGAAAGAAAACGATAAGAATGAAAGGATTAGAAGTAGTAAAAGATTTATATTGGGTAGGAGTATTTGATAAAGAATTACGAGTATTTGACATAATAATGAGGACACCATATGGGACGACATACAATTCATTTTTATTAAAAAGTGAGAAAGGGAATGTATTATTTGAAACATGTAAAGAGAATTTTGCCGAGGAATGTTTAGAAAGAATAGAAGATGTTATAGGAAAAGAAGGGAAAATAGATTATATAGTATTAAATCACACAGAACCGGATCATAGTGGATCATTAGTACATATATTAGAGAAATATCCAGAAGCTACAGTAATTGGAACAATGGCAGCATTAAATAACATTAAATATATTGGACATATTAAAGAAAATACAAAAACATTAAATTCAGGAAAAATTAAAACACTTGATTTAGGAAATTATCATTTAAAATTTTTAATTCAACCATTTTTACATTGGCCAGATACTATGATGACAGTTATTGAAGAATTAAAAGTATTAGTTAGTTGTGATGTTTTTGGAGGACATTATGCAGATGAAAGAGTATTTAATGATCAAATGATGGATAGAATTAAAGATATGGATGATGCATATAAACATTATTTTGATTGTATTTTTGGACCATTTAAAAATTATGTAATTAAAGGAATTAATATGATTGAAACACAAATGGGATTCCCAACTGATGAACTTAAAGCTATTTGTTGTAGTCATGGACCTGTTTTAAGAACAAATATTAAAGAAAATATTGAAAGATATAGAAAATGGGCACAACCTATTATTTTAAAAAATAAAGTTGTTATTGCTTATGGTTCTGCTTATGGTTATACTCAAAAAATGGCTGAAAAAATTAGTGAAGGAATTAAATCTTCTGGTGTTGATGTTAAAATCTTTAATATAGTTCAATCTTCTATTGATGATGTTTTAAAAGAATTCGATGATGCTAAAGGTTTACTTTTAGGTACTCCTACTTTAGTTAATGATGCTATCCCTCCTATTATGAATATCGCTTGTAGTCTTAATCCAACTATTCATTGCAATAGATTCATTCAATGTTTCGGTTCTTTCGGTTGGAGTGGTGAAGGTGTTAAAAATTTATCTGCTAGAATCATTCAATTAAAAGCTCATCAACCCGTAGAACCTTTATCTATTAAATTCCATCCTAATTCTATTGAATTACAAACTTGCTTTGATTGGGGAAAGAAATTCGCTGATGCTCTTCTTAATGCTTAATTCTCCTTTTTTTCTTTTTTTCCTTTTTTTCTTCTTAGTTATAATCAAATTGTGATGAAGTGATTGAATTGTTTATTTTATAATGATTTAAATCTTATTTAAACTAGTTATTTAGTTTATTTTAAAGTTAAATGAATGAAGAATGATTGTGTGTACATCGTTAACAAGTTAATCACTAATAACATTTTGTATAAATTACTTGTAATCTTCTGTTAGTACTTTTTTCATAACTTATTATCCATTCTGAATAAAAAAAATGTAAAATCTTTTTTTACAACCTATTTAATGATAATATCAAAATTAGTATGGAACAAATACAAAAAATCAACACTGTTTTGTATTAGTTTTGGTGATAGTTTTAATGTCTATCAATTATTTTAAATAAAAAATCAGCAAATGCTGATGTATTTCAATGATCCCCTTATCAAATTTCACCACTCTGATTCTAGTTTTATTATTAAATGATTATTGTTTAATCTTTCTATACTTTTTTTTCTAATGGTACTAAGCACAGATTAATGAATAATTTACTGTATTACAATAATTCATTTTTTATTAATGGATAACTTCTCTAGGTATTTTAGATATCGATTTGATGAATTATTTATTGTCTAATTATATATTGTAAATATATTCTTCTATCCAATGCTTCGTATTTGTTTCAACCATAGATTTAGTATTATCTGGAAGTTGGAGGAAGAAAATAACTCGTATAAATGTAGATTTAAATCTTAACTATTTAATCTTTTGGTTGTTTAGTAAGTCATTCTTTAAGTATTTTTACACTTTCAAAAATGTCTTATGGTTTTCTTTCAATAAACAGTTGAAGATGTTTTTAGAAAATGTATTTGATTGACGAGAAGAATTAACTCATTCATTTCTTCAACGCCTCATATACTAAAAGATGCTGTCTAATACTAGAGATGAAAGTTGAGAGAAATTGACTAAGATATTGATCAAAATAATAAAACCAATGGAAGGTGTATTTAAATTAATACCATTATTAATTCATTGAAGGAGCTAAAATTATAAAGAGAAAAATAGTATAACAAAACCTAGCATTTAATGATATAGATATGTAATAGATTAATACATCATTCCTGAATTACTAAATTGCAAACCAAATGAATTTAATATACTAATATCATTAATACAATTCAATTGACTTTGAACAAACTTATTTGAAATGTTACAATTAAATTTATAATATTAAGAGGTGTTGGAGTAGATACTAAAAACACCATTAATACAATTAATGAAGATAGTATTTTATTACTTAAAAATACTTCAGTCTTATCACTAGATAATCATAAAATAAGAACTACACTCTTATTAAAAAAAGAAATTTTATGCCTTTTCTATATTCTTAATAATTTTTTTTTATTTTGGTGTTTGTAATATCAGTATCAATTATGGATACAATTGAATCGATATTGAAATAAACATAAATAAATGTGGAGTATTAAAAAGATGAAATATAAGTATCACAGATAACATGTATACTATACCATTAGTAGATGAAAAAACATACATATAAATATTTAAGAGTTTATCAAATTACAAGAAATGATGAATCAGGATGTATAGAGAAATAATTAACAATAATAAAGATTGATTAGAAGAAATAAAAGAAATTATAGTAATAAGAATTATATGAATAGAATAAATACAGAAATAATATATAAATTTACATATAGTGATTCTGTTGTTAAATGAACAAATATGAAAATAAAAGAAATAGATAAAATGATAAAAAAATGATTAAAAGAAATATAATAGGAACATGTGTATTAATAGATTATATATAAATCAAAATAGTAATAGAGATGGATTAAAGAGTGTAAAGGATGAATATGAATATTGAATTAATAATAACATTTATGTATTTCACATTGAAAAGAGAAGATAAAATATGAGGTATGATAAAGTTAAATGAAAAAAAGGAAAGGAATACAGAATAGATTGTATAAATCACGTTGAAAAAGAATAAATAAAGAAGAAATTAAAAAATGATTGAGGAAGAAGAAAAAAAGAAAGAAAAAAAGAAATAATAAAAGATACAAAAGATAAATTTTAAGAAGAATATATCAATAACTGGAGAAATAAGAAAGTAATGAAATTTTAAAATGATTTAAAGATAAAATGACAAACTAAAATAAAACAATTAAAATATTGAAAACAATTAATATTATAAGGAATATATTCAAATAAAGAAAAAGCAATAAATATTGGAATAATGAAAGTAATATGGACACGTGAACCAAAATATACAATGTGTAAGATTTATAATAAAATATCAACAATAAATCATATCATTCTCAATTGTATAATCAATAAAAAACACAGATGAATAAATATGATAAAATGAATATTATTGAGTGGTTTAAAGATTAAATAAGAAATATATTCAGATGAAGAAATGAAGAGAAAAAGAAAAAAAAATACAAAGAAATTAATAATAAGAAAAGAAGAATTAAGAAAAAAAAGAAAGAAGAATAGAGATAAAATACTTATAACTTTGGATCAAGAAATATAAATAAAAAATGAATGAAATTTCCTAAAAGACCAGGTATTTATGTAAGAGATTTAAAGAAGAAAGAAGCACTAATCATAGATATGACAATAATAAGAGATAAGAATATGAGTAAAACATTTACAAATAAAATAAATATGTATATGAAATTACAAGAACATTTTATAAAAATAGAAAGATTAATAAGAGTAATAATATGCCAATCATATTAACAATAGGAGATTGAAAATAAAGAAACAGTTAGATTATTAAGAAGTGAAGGAAATAAAATTCCATGTGAAATAATGGTAAAAAATATTGTAATATCAAATATGAAAGATCTCATGAGATATGAAATGACCATTGTGGAGAATACAAAGATGCAGAAGATTCAGAAGAAGTTGACTCTTTGTGAATGAATGGAAGAAATTCTCAACTGAACAACAGGTTAAAATTAATAAGCCTTTATTTAATATTTATTATTAGTATCAATTATGTTAAGTCACAACTTAACTTCAAATAATCAGAAAGTATTTTTTACAAATTTGAATAATGAAACAGAGTTAGAATATAAAAATTGTCACTAAAACAAAAAACAAATTTATCAATATATACAAGAAATAAAACAAGCCATAAAAAATCTTCACAGAAGAAAAGAACCTATTGTATTATCTACACCATTTTCTATGATACAGCATAATAACATTCTTGTTAAGAACTTTATTATTATTTTTAATTCATTGAATGCTTCAGTAAATTGTTTTTGGTGGTTAACAAATATAATTCCAATAATAATTCCAATAATTGTAGATATACTGTCCTTCCTTTCATTATCATTTTTGAATAATGAAGTTGGTTTTGTGATGTGATTTATTATAAAGTCATTCATTACTTCTATTCCTTCTAACATTCCAGTTTTTAACATATTAATATCTGAACAACATCTATTTTCTGGAGAGAAGAGTAATGAAATATGTCCTAGAATCATTTTAACATATTTACAATTATTTTGAATAAGAATTGGTGAATTTGATGTTGTCAGCCATTGTTTGTATATTTTTAAACACCGAATTTTTCTGTTAACAT